TTCCCAGCAGCCTGGAAGTCGCCTAACAATGTCGTGTCCCAAACCATACACTGTATCCCTAATTGGTCCCTCGCCCCACGACTGTTTGTGGGACGCTGCCACGTTTCGCCCACTAAAAACACAGTCACTGCACTTTACAGTGTATCCTGTGAAGCGCTTTGAGACGTCTCAAAGACGTGATCAGGCGCCGTATCAACTGCAGGGATTATTATCCCGAGATATTATTTTGCAGCAGAAATCCATCTGATTTGTTCTTGAAACAAACAACACTTTCTGCTTCCACCGTGTGTCTCCCTCGGGAGTCTGTTCCATATGTTTGCTACTCGCTCACTGAACTCGCGTCCCTGCAGATTTGTTCTGGATTTACCCCCCTTCTTAATCCTCGTCTCCGCCCTTCCTTCTCCCTCCGACCAGGAAAGGAGCCGTTCCCCAAATATAACTCCACACGGAGGGAAACCTAAGCAGTGGAAAGGTGTGAGGCTGAGGGGGGTGGGAGAAGGTGAGGATGGGTCCTGTTCTCTGAGCAAGATTCCTTCCCCGCCAGCCTCCGGAATGACAGCGCTGCCTTAGTCAGTGTGTGTCTGAGCCCTGACCGACAGCCTGATATCCAACCACAGCGCCAGACACTGCTACACACACAGACGTCAGTCAGTCAGTCTGACTCACAGACTCCAATCTAATTCAGGGGCTCGAGGGGAGAGGTATTGTATATATATAGAGAGAGAGAGAGAGAGAATATCACACCCACCAGGAATGAGTTTCAGCCTGGAATCTTGGCAGTAAGTGAAACGTAATTATAAATATATTTGTTATAAGTTTATTGTATTTTATATAATAAACTTCACAATATATTGTGTGAAAAGCTTTTGAGACGTCTCAATGACGTGATGAGGCGTTGGATCAAATGCAATGATTATTGTTGTCAGAGTCGGGCCATTTCGGGGTGAAATCAGGGGCAGGTTTTCACCCAAAGGCTCAGTGGGTATCTGGAACCCTCTCCTTCCCCCAAAAGGCTGTGGATTCCGGCTGTGGATCCATTCACTGAGGTCGATGGATGATTATTGGGTCAGGGGATCGGGGGATACGGGGCAAAGGGGGGTATTTGGAGTTGAGGCACAGATCAGCCATGATCTAATAGAATGGGGGAACAGACTTGAGGGGCTGAATGGCCTCCTCCTGTTCCTATGCTGTGCTGCCTGACTGACTGTGTAACCAGCAGTGATGTGAAGCCCGAGGTCATCTGTCAGCCTCCGCGAGGGATCCCCATGGAAACCGTCTCCATTAACACTCACATCTAATCACCTTCGTTGGATTTCAATCTCACTGAAGCACAACCACCACCGAGAGACTTGGATAATAATAATAATAATCACAATAATAATCCCTGCATTTGCCACAGCGCCTTATCGCGTCTTCGAGTTGTCTCAAAGCGCTTCACAGGACACGCTGTAAAGTGAAGTGACTGTGCGTTTTGTGGGTTGAGTGACTAAGTTGTGCATTTTTTTGAAGGGATTATTACCTCTGGAAAGGAGTCTCGAAGACCTCACAAAGCACACTATCAAATGCAAGGATTATTATTATTATTATTATTATTATTCAGCAGCTCTCACGCAGTCTAACGTCCCAGAGCGCCTTTAAACCCAAGTTAATCCGAGCTCCCGTCTGTGCCCTGTTCAGGCGACGTTAAAGATTCCAATGTTATTGGAAAAAGAGGAGTCTCTTTCTCTCTCTCTCTCTCTCTCCCGGAGTCCTGGAATCCCCCACATACAATCCCTCACTCACTTTATGGCTGTGTGTGGATGTCGCTGACAGATAAGGCTGAAAGGTTTTCCCGGAAAATCAGGCACTTGACAGGAATTATTATAACATATTGAGATGCAAATGGAGGGAGTTGTCACACCGAGTGGCCGGATATAACCTGGATGTGAGGTGGGAGAGAATGTTTCAGACCTGGACACACAGGGAACGTGTCAACGAATAGGTCAGTCAACTTGCACACACTGCAAACAGTGACTGATTTTATTTGGGTGGGGATGAGGGGGGTGGGGGGGGGGGGGGAGCCCTGAGCTCAGTGGTTACAGCCCTCGCCTCGCAAGTGAGAGGTCCTGGGTTTGATTCCCGGGCAGAGCAAAATCTTAGGTAAATTTCCTTACTCCACACACGCGCCTCTGATCACCAGCAGTGAGTAGGAACCCTCACCACATCTTCAAGACGTCTCAAAGCGCTTCGCAGAATATAACGTAAAGCAAATTGACTGTATATTTTGTGGGCGAAACACGGCAGCCAATTGCGCACAGCAGCGTCCCCACAGACAGCCGTGGGTTGAGTGACCAAATTATTAAGGAATTGTGTGTGGAGTAAGGAAACTTGCCTAAGGTCTCACCCTGCCTGGGAATCGAATCCAGGTCCTCTCGCTTGGCGAGGCGCGTGCTCTAACCACAGAGCTCCAGGACTCCAGGGCAGGGAATATCTGGGTGCTGTATAAACACCAGGTCTCACCGAGCCCGGCACTGACATTTGTTACACTCAAAATCTATATCTGAAAGGCTAACACTAGCAGCAGAAAGTGCTCTCGTATTTCTCTAATTCCCCTTTAAATGTTAATACCAGTAATATGTCATGTTAACTACAGCAATGTTAAATCTTTCATGTTGGAATACAGGTGAAATTGGCTTTCATTTTAGCCCGTAATGCCTTGCAGTAATCTGAAATAACAGCTAAACATTAATCCTGATTGCTTTGATGTTTGCCGTTCTGAAGCTTGTGGGGCAGTGTGTACAGTAAATATTAATCTGATTGCTTCTTAATGTTAACACCATTCCCTTTTCAATAATACAAGACGCCTTCCTGTTCCCACACCAGCTGCCTGCGGAAATACACTGCCACAACTCGTTTTCCAGTCGGAAATCCGTCCCCTCGTCCTCCCCAGGAAATTGGGAAAATGTGCAGAGATTTCCACCGTGACCGGTCGGGTGTCTGACACACACGGAAACCCGTCACCGTGACCAGCCGGGTGTCTGACACACACGGAAACCCGTCACCGTGACCAGCCGGGTGTCTGACACACACACGGAAACCCGTCACCGTGACCAGCCGGGTGTCTGACACACACACGGAAACCCGTCACCGTGACCGGCCGGGTATCTGACACACACACAGGGAAACCCGTCACCGTGACCGGCCGGGTATCTGACACACACGGAAACCCGTCACCGTGACCGGCCGGGTGTCTGACACACACGGAAACCCGTCACCGTGACCAGCCGGGTGTCTGACACACACACGGAAACCCGTCACCGTGACCAGCCGGGTGTCTGACACACACGGAAACCCGTCACCGTGACCGGCCGGGTGTCTGACCGACACGGAAACCCGTCACCGTGACCGGCCGGGTGTCTGACACACACGGAAACCGGTCACCGTGACCAGCCGGGTGTCTGACACACACGGAAACCTGAAGTGACCGAACAACAGATAGACAGATGGAGACACACACACAGACAGACAGACATCAGACAATGGGCTGAGTGAGAGATATCACGGACTGTGTAGATTTTGCCAACACTACTTTTTATTAAGACTCAAAGCATTTAAATATAGACAAGATACATTTTGAGATGGGCGGACGCGAGAGGCGGGGGAGGGAGATGGTGAGAGCGAGGGGGGGGGGAGTAGGGCGCGAGGGGGGAGCGAGGGAGAAGGGGGCAGTGATCGTATCAGCATTTACTCTGAGCTTGGAAATAAAGGAATCATTGTTACGTGGGGAGGGGGGAACAGTGCGATGGGGACCCTGGTCAGTCCATCCCGGCCCCTCCCTGAAGATCCTCCTCACTCACCCCCCCCCCTCCCACCGTCTGTCTTGGAGCAGCTGGGACCCTAAACCGTACCCCCCTCAACCCCCCCAATTCTGGACTAAACAGCTAGATTAATAACGGCTGGGCAATTAATTACTCTGAAGACATGAAGAGAGAGAGAGAGAGAGAGAATTCCGGTCTCCCGGGATATGAAGGATTGGTCGGAGTGCGGGGGGAGGAAAGCCAAGGAATGGGCCAGAAACTCGGCACAGAATCAACTAAGGTGGAAGTGGTTTGCCAGGCGGAAAGAGTGCGGATTAAACAGCGGCTTGTCAAACTGGGGGGGAAAGGGGGGGAAAGGGGGGGGGCAGCCTTGGACAGTCACATACAGACACGTCAGGGGCTCAGGTATGTGTGTGTGGGGGTGGAGAGGAACAGGGGAGAGACTGAGCCTAACCCTTGCCACCCTACCCCACACTTCCCCCCTCAACCCCAAAAAATAGCATCGCTTCAGCCAGGTCAGGGGAGCAAGGGGAGAGACGTGACCAGCACACGCCAAAACATGCTAAGCACATGTCAGGGACGTGTGGTTCCGAAATGGGGTTTGGCTGATGTGGAAGGGCTCCCCAGTGAGGAGAACAGCCACTCCCCCCCCCCCCCCCCCCCCCCCCACCCCTGGCACGGCCTCTATTTACCCTCTTAATCCCCGACTGTTGATGGTGTGAAATTCTGGGTTTTAGAGTAAATTCAGCCACAAATCCCCTGACCTGCGCCGTTCACAGGTAAATCTGGAGAAAGTCTCTCTCTCCCTCTCTCTTTCACCCCTCACTCCCACACTCTCTCTCTCTCTCCCCCTCCCTCCCACACACTCTCTCTCTCTCTCCCCCTCCCTCCCACACACTCTCTCTCTCTCCCCCTCCCTCCCACACACTCTCTCCATCCCTTCCTCTTCTCCCTCTCCCTCCCTCTTACTGAGTGTCCCCCATATTGGGAGTTGGCCTGGGATGGAGGGGTGGGAGGAGGTGAAGGGAGGGGAATCTCCCCCCTCCCCACCACAATCTCCTCTCTCTCTCTCTCTCTCTCTCTTGTTGCCGCCACTTTCCCGCACAATTAAACATTAAAAAATCTTTCGCCGAAAAATAAACCGTCATTTAATTTTGCCAAATATTTGGGTAGAAATGCAGAGCGTAAAGGAAAGCAAAATAAGCGGGCATTTAATTACCATCATTATAGTCAATGACCATCGACAGCCACATGATTAGTACCCCCTGCCCCCGGAGAGGAGAGGGTGGTGGTGGTGTTGGGGGTTGGGGGAGATGGTGGGGAGGGGGGATCTTGACGCTGGGTTCAGCGCCGGTATCCAAACTCGTCAGCATCGTCAGCTCGGAAATCACCGTAACGCCACAGGCTGAGCTGTAAACAGAGAACAGTGTGTTAGCGGGGGGGGGGGGGGGGGGGGGAGACTTGAGGGCAGAGACGGACACTGGGTTTCGCAGCAGAGGTGGGGTGGTAGGTACTGGGGGAGAGGGAGCACTTACCCGGGCAGCTTTGGCCATCTCCTGAGCGTTCAGATATTCCATCACCTGCAGAGAGAGAGAGAGAGAGTCACCCTGAGGAGAGAGAGGCTAATAATAATAATAATAATCCCTGCATTTGACACAGGGCCTCATCGCGTCATAGAGACGTCTCTAAGCGCTTCACAGGATACTCTGTAAAGTATGTATTTTGTGGGCGAAACACGGCAGCCAATCGTGCACAGCCGCGTCCCCCACACACAGCCGTCAGTGACCAAATTATTATTATTATTTTTTCGAAGAAGTGATCATTACCCTCGGAAAGGTGATCCCCCGAGCGACTAACAACCGGGTTCCTACTGATTGCCGGTAACCAGGTGCGTGCAGTGAGGAAACCTGCGCGGGAATCAAACCCGGGTCCTCTCGCTGGTTAGGTGAGGGCTGTATCCACTGAGCAAGTGGTGGGATTGATAATTAAGACACTGACCACTCATTCCCCCCCCACTGTGTGTTAATTAGCACAACCCACATATTTCCCCTTTGTGCGAGGCAGTGGTGAGCGGTGTAAAGCTCACGGCCGAGGGGGAAGCGAGGCCGGAGATCACTCTCCCACAGGCAGAGATCCAGCTGTAGCAATGCGTCAGAGAGACGTACAGACCAATAAATAAACATGTCAGTGTAGGGACTGGGAGGCTGACAGCTCCCTCCCTCCCTCCCTCTCTCTCTCTCTCTCAGGCTGCTCACTGCCTTTTTGTCTCCGTCCCTGAACCCGGGCCAGGAGAGAGGCCGAGCTCCAGCCCGTGATCTCCCCTCCCCGGGCAGGAGGTGGTGGGTTCACGCCCCCCCACTCCCACCACCATATTGTGGAGTCCTCTAGGGTAGTGGTGAGAGCAGTCTCCACGCAAGCGAGAGGACCCGGGTTTGATTCCCGGGCAGAGCAAAACCTTAGGCAAGTTTCCTCACTCCACACACACACGCACACGCACACACACACGCACGCACACACACACACACACGCACACACACACACACGCACACACGCAGACACACACACACACACGCACACACACACACACACGCACACACACGCACACGCACACACACACACACGCACGCACACACACGCACACACACGCACACACACGCACACACACACACACACACACGCACACACACGCACACACGCACACACACACACGCACACACACACACACGCACACACGCACACACACACACACACACACACGCACACACGCACACACACACACACGCACACACACACGCACGCGCCTCTGTTCACCGCAGTGAGTAGGAACCCGGTTGTTAGTCAATTGGTGGATCACAATTTCCACCACTTATGATTTCTTTGCACGACTCGTATTAATCACCTCCTAACTGGTATCGCCACTCCTCTGCCCTCCATCACTCCCCCGCCCTCCATCACTCCCCCGCCCCCCATCACTCCCCCGCCCCCCATCACTCCCCCGCCCTCCATCACTCCCCCGCCCCCCATCACTCCCCCGCCCCCCCATCACTCCCCGCGCCCCCCATCACTCCCCCGCGCCCCCATCACTCCCCCGCCCCCCATCACTCCCCCGCCCCCCATCACTCCCCCGCCCCCCATCACTCCCCCGCCCCCCATCACTCCCCCGCCCTCCATCACTCCCCCGCCCTCCATCACTCCCCCGCCCCCCATCACTCCCCCGCCCCCATCACTCCCCCGCGCTCCATCACTCCCCCGCCCTCCATCACTCCCCCGCCCCCATCACTCCCCCGCCCCCCATCACTCCCCCGCCCCCCATCACTCCCCTGCCCTCCATCACTCCCCCGCCCTCCATCACTCCCCCGCCCTCCATCACTCCCCCGCGCTCCATCACTCCCCCGCCCTCCATCACTCCTCCGCCCCCCCATCACTCCCCCGCCCTCCATCACTCCCCCGCCCTCCATCACTCCCCCGCCCCCCATCACTCCCCCGCCCCCCATCACTCCCCCGCCCCCCATCACTCCCGCACGCCCCGGCTGCAGTGAATGACACAGGCGCAGTGTAGGTTATTGATCAAATGGGATTTTATACGATTTGTAGTTTACCTGCAATTCAGATTTCACGTGAGTCGTGTTAAAGGTTAGGATTCTGACTGACCGACGTGTGTGAGTTTTACTCTACGTCAGTACGTCAGGTATCACTCCAGAAATCAGTTTCCTTTCTTTACAAAGTGCAGAAAACCTGAGGCTGAGACCAGGTGGAATTTAGGCGTCTCTGGATGTATGTTTACAACCTGCATTTGCACAGCGCCCCTCACCCCAGGCAGTGCCTCGGAGCGCTCGACAGTGGGGGAGCACGATGCAGAGCTGGGGGAAGAGGGGGAGGTGACCATGGGCACGGCTGAAGAGGAATGTCTTCAGGTGGGATCTGAAGACTGGGAAGGAGGGGGCAAGGCAGAGGGAGGGAAAGAACAAGTGTGCCAAAGTTTCAGGGCGTAGTGACTAACGTTCCTCCCTCGCTCTTCCCTTCCTCCTGCACTCTCCAGGACTCCTCACCACCTCGGTGGGGGCCTGGTGAGGGCTGGGCTGATGGGGTACAGGGTTTAGTGTGTGTGATGGGGAGCCAGTGGAGCCTGGTGAGGGCTGGGCTGATGGGGTACAGGGTTTAGTGTGTGTGATGGGGAGCCAGTGGAGCCGGGCGAGGGCTGGGCTGATGGGGTACAGGGTTTAGTGTGTGTGATGGGGAGCCAGTGGAGCCTGGCGAGGGCTGGGCTGATGGGGTACAGGGTTTAGTGTGTGTGATGGGGAGCCAGTGGAGGCTGGCGAGGGCTGGGCTGATGGGGTACAGGGTTTAGTGTGTGTGATAGGGAGCCAGTGGAGCCTGGCGAGGGCTGGGGTGATGGGGTACAGGGTTTAGTGTGTGTGATGGGGAGCCAGTGGAGGCTGGCGAGGGCTGGGCTGATGGGGGGGACAGAGCTTAATGTGGGTGAGTATCCAAGCGGCAGAGTTTTGAACAAGTTGGGACTTTGTGAAGCTGTGAATGTTAGGGTTCGATAGTCAGACGGGCAGATAGCGCTCACGGAAAACATTCCCACAAGATTGCATTCTGCAATTTATTGCCGAGTGTCAAAAGAAAACAATTAGATTGAAAAATTGGAGCTATTCGCTTGCTCGGAGTTTATTATCCATCAGCGTGGAAGAGAAAACGATTCACCTAATCCACTCCCCGCCATCCCTCGCACCTGTTCCATCAAACACGCAGTAATTACCAGCCACTGATAACAGTAATAATAACTGCACGTGATACGGCGCCTCATCACGTCTTCGAGACGTCTCAAAGCGCTTCACAGAATAGACTGCAAAGTGAATTGACTGTGCATTTTGTGGGTGAAACGCGGCAGCCGACTGCGCACAGCAGCGTCTGTCCCACAAACAGCCGCGGCTTGAGTGACCAAATTATTATCACTGCGCTGCTGCACGCGAATTTGCTGCCCTGTTTCGCCCACAAAATACACAGCCAATCCGCTTTACAGTGTATCCTGGGAAGCGCTCTGAGACGTCTTGACGAAGTGATAAGGCGCCGGATCAAACACAAGGATTATTATTACAAATAGTGATGTGAGTGCCAGCTATGTCAGTTTTAAGCCTTGTTTACAGAGGAACATTCACTGCAGTGACTATTTATACTTGATCCTCAAACTCCCGAGTACTTGGATGTGTCTGTGATGTACACACACATCTCTCAGATTCACATTAAACATTTATAATGGCTTCGCTGTAAAGCAGGCCCTCAGCTGAACCAGGCAGAGTTACGATATTCGGAGTGCAGTGAACTTTTTTTTATTAAATAGATTCCTTCTCGAAAAACAAATATTGAAGCTGTCAAAAAATCCATAAATATTAATTGCATCGCTCTCCCCCTCTCCCCCTCCCTGTCTCTCTCTCGCTCTCTCTCATTCTCCCACATCTCGCTCACTCTTCCCCTCCCTCCCTCCCTCCCTCCCTCCCCCTCCCTCCCTCCCCCTCTCTCTCTTTCCTCTGCTCTCTCCCTCCCCCTTTGTTAAGTCAGGGTATCAATGGTTATGGGGCAAAGGCGGGTAATTGGAGATGAGGTATAGATCAGCCGTGATCTAACAGAATAACAGAACAGGCTTGAGGGGTGGAATGGCCTCCTCCTGTTCCTATGTTCCCTTCCTCTCGCTCTAACCCTCCTTTGCCCTCCTCCTCACTTTCTTGCTGCTCCACCCTCTCTCTCGGTCTTGCCCTCCCCACACCCTCTCTCCCTCTCCCCGATTTTGTAGGCAATTCAACAGCCAATTAGCGACCAGTGACGTCCCCTCAAACTGCTGTGAAGTGAAGGACCAAGTTTATCTGAGGGGGATTGTCAGGCAGGACACCGAGAGAGAGAGAGAGAGAGAGAGAGAGAGAGAGAGAGAGAAACACCCTTCTCTTTTCCAACAGCGCTGCGGGGGAGATCTTTGAAGTCCGTCTGAACAGGGCACAGACGGGAAGGGGAGTGAGGTTTAACATCTCATCCAACGGACGGCATCTCTGACAATGCGGCTTCATGTTCAACATCGCGCCTCTCACATCGGGAGGACGTCTCAAAGCATTTCGCAGGATTCACTGTAAAGTGCAATGACTTGAGTTCTGCCAACAAAGGCGGGAGGGAGTGTGTTTTATCAGCAGCCGCTCCTCCCAGTCAAACCATATTAAAGGAAGTATAATTTAAGGCTTAAACTTGGCTCTATTTATAGTCCTCTCGCTGTATCTCTCGCTCTCTCTCTCTCTCTCCTGCTGCTCCCATACAGTGATATAAATCACGCTCTTCAGTCACAGATGATTTTACTGTGTAAAACCGGCCTCACTCACCAGCTTTATGTTACTAAGGAGTTGGGAGACCTCATTCCCAGCTCTCTCTCTCTCTCTCTCTCTCCCCATGGTGTCTGTGCTGGGGCTCGCTCCCCCACTGTAGCTCTCTAACCCCGTTCCCTGCTCTCTCTCCCCATGGTGTCTGTGCTGGGGCTCGCTCCCCCACTGTAGCTCTCTAACCCCGTTCCCTGCTCTCTCTCCCCAGGGTGTCTATATGGGGGAGTGAGCACCACCGACCCGTTTGATGGGATTAAAGGTGAAAGATTACAATTCTGAGTCGGAGCCACAGCTCAGCCCCACCCCCACAACCTGACCCCACCCCTACAGACTGGCCCCACCCCCACAGCCTGACCCCACCCCCACAGCCTGGCCCCACCCCCACCCCCAGCCCAACCCACACCATCATAGCCCAGTGCAGCCCAGCCCCGCCCCTGGTGCAGCTCAGCCCCGCCCCCGGTGCAGCCCAACCCCGCCCCCCGTGCAGCCCAGCCCCGCCCCTGGTGCAGCCCAGACCCGCCCCCGGTGCAGCCCAGCCCCGCCCCCGGTGCAGCCCAGCCCCGCCCCCGGTGCAGCTCAGCCCCGCCCCCGGTGCAGCCCAGCCCCGCCCCCGGTGCAGCCCAGCCCCGCCCCCGGTGCAGCCCAGCCCCGCCCCCGTCACTCACCACTTTCTGCAGGTGTTTCTCTTTGCGGGCGTCCACCATGACCAGCCCCTCCTTGACCAGCCCCAGCCCCACATCATCCTTGGAGTCCGTGAACTGCAGAGTGACGCAGGAGCAGGACAGCCCCGCGTACTCCACGTTCAGAAGGCACTGTATATTGTGGATGTCCCTCACCACACTGTCCACAGCATCAGCCTTGGCTTCCTCCTGGGGGCAAAGGCACAGGTCGGAGGTCAGAGGGGAGGTTTCTACAGACCACTCTGGCGGGGAGAGCGAGCGAAAGAAAGAGAGAGCGAAAGAGAATGAGAGAGAAACAGAGTGAGAGAGAGAGAGAGAGAGCCAGAGGGTGAAAGAGAGCAAGCTAGAAAGAAAGATAGCGAGAGAGAGAAAGAGGAAGAGAGAGCGAGAGAAAGAGAGCAGCAGCCCCCCGCTGTTACCCCCCCACCCCGCCGCCCCATGTTACTCACGTCGTTCGGGAGCTGTACAAAGGCAAAGGTGTGCTCGGTGGCATGTGGGGGGAGGACACGGGTACTGAAGGATGGTGGGAGCGATCCTAGGCGTGTGGAGGCCAGTGTCTCTCTCTGTGAGGAACAACAACAGCAGAGTGAGTGGGGGTGGGGGGGGTCGTTTCACTTGTTCCCCCCACATCCACGTCCCACCCACTAACCCATTTCTCTTGCCCCACTCCCCATGTTCCCCCAACTCTGGACATGTTATTTCCTCAATCCCAATTAGCAACTTGTAGATGTCTGTAGGTTCTCTGAGGCAACGGAGAGAGAGAGAGAGAGAGGTCATAAAGTGAGAAACAGACTGAAAGGAGAAAGGGAGGAGAGACAGAGGGGGAGGAGAGAGGATGGGAGAGAGAAAGATAGAGGTAGAGAGAGGGGAGAGACAGATGAAGAAAGGGAGTGAGGAGAAACAGAGAGATTGACAGAGAGAGGCGGAGATAGAAAGAAAGGGAGAGGGGGTGAAGAGAGGGATGGAGAGAGAGTAAGAGAGAATGAGACAGAGAAGGATGGAGAGAGAGTAAGAGAGAATGAGACAGAGAAGGATGGAGAGAGAGTAAGAGAGAATGAGACAGAGAAGATGGAGAGAGGACAGAGAGGGTGAGGAAGAGACACATAGACTGACAGACATAGAAAGATAGTCAGAGAGAGAGAGACACAGAGAGAGAAAGAGATAGATGGACAGAGAGAGAAAGGGGGAGGGGATAGACAGGGGCCGTGTTGCTCTGTGGCTCGGGTGACAGGAGGCTATATCTCAGTGTGAGGCTCACTGAAGTCTCTGACAGAGCTGTGAACTCAGCACTTTCTGTGGGAGAGAGCGATGGCTTGTGTGCTGTGCTGTGGAAACACCCACGAGCTGAGCCCAGGGTTTGATGGAGCAGAGACCAGCAGTTCGTCAGCGGCTGTCAGCCAGCGAGGGGGGAAGAGAGCACCAGCACAGACACGATGGGGAGAGAGCTCCAGCTCTCTGGAACTCCATCCTCCCCCTCGTCTAAAGACCCACCTCTTTGACTGCGCTTTTAGTCATATTTCCACCCATCGCTCCCCCCCACCCCACGAACAGCTCAGGTGACCGTCTGGTCAATAAACCGAGAGAGAGAGAGTGGAGTTGCTCACGTTGCCATAATCGATGTAGAAGACGTGGACCTTGGCTGTGCTTTCCACCTTCTCTACCCGAGCTCGGTACCTGGTCAAAGACAAAGGGGGGTTAAGAGGGTGGGAATGGGCAGGACGTCCCACAGGGCGACCGCTCTCACACACACATCACGCGGCTGATCCTGTTGGGAGTGCTCCGGGACACTACCCCGTGTGACGGGCTCTATATAAACGCAAGTTGTTGTCTAGGTTTCCACGTCACTAAAGCTTCTGTATTTGGGGTCGGTGTTACCATAGCTTTTATTTATACAGCACTCCTCACGCAGACAACACCATCAATCCTTACATTTGATATCGTACTTTATCACATCGTTGAGACGTCTCAAAGCGCTTGATTCACAGAATATATTGTGAAGTGAATTGACTGCATTTTTGAGGGCGAAACACGGGAGCCAGTCGCGCACAGCAGCGTCCCACAAACAGTCGTGGGTTGAGTGACCAAATACTTTTTTTCTTGAAGGGATTATTACCCCCGGAAAAGTGATCCGGCAATCGACTAACAAGTATGTCCGGAATGGAATGCACTCTCGCTCTCTCTCTCCCTGGAGGGACACACGTTGCTTACCTAATTCCGGAGAGTATTAGGCACAGGTTGGCGAGAGCCAAGGCTTGGGTGGGGGAGCCCAGAGTGTGGGTTGGGGTAACGGCTGAAGACTAACGGGGTACCTGCACGTGTCGTGTGCTGGTGAAGTTTGGTGCCTTACCATTCGCCGTCCACAAACTTGGCGATGCAGAAGTCTCCTCGCCGCGGCATGTAGGCTCCCTCCACTGGGGGGTAACTGGCGATTTCACTCCTCATGTTCTCCATCAGCTTCTCCAGCTGTGTGCCTGCCAACACACAAATAATCATCATCATCATCATCCTTCTATTTGATATCAACAACAACAACATGATTGCATTTATACAGCGCCTTATCACGTCTTCGAGACATTTCAAAGCGTTTCACAGGATATACCGTAGAGTGGAGTGACTGTATGTTTTGGGGCCGAAACGCGGCAGCCAACTGTAAACAAACAGTCGTGGGTTGAGTGACCACATTGTTATTACTATTTTTTTTTGAAGGGGTTATTACCCCTGGAAAAGCAATCCATCAATCGACTAACAACCGGGTTCCTACTTACTGCTGGTAAACAGAGGCGTGTGGAGTAAGGAGAGTTCTCCCAGCCCGGGAACTGAACCCAGGTCTCTCACTCACTTTCGAGTCGAGCTCTCTAGCCACTGAGCTACAGAACTCCATAATAGACCCCCAGGCTAAGCTATCAGCTGGGTGATGGGGTGGCGGGGGGTTCAGGAGGGGAGGATGGCTCTCTCATTCAGGCAGAATGAGAGTTAATCATATCAGCTTTCAGGATCAGCATGTGCTGTGAAAGCAAACTCACAAGTGGAATTAGATTTTACTCAACCATTAAAACCTCCATTAGCCACTAACTGGTCACAGATATTAATGTCAACGGGAGCCATAAACAGAAGGCGACTTATTCATGGGGAAGCAGAGAGAGAGGAAGAGAGAGAGACACATGCAGTCAGAGAGGGACACACACACACACAAGAGTCAGAGAGTGTCAGAAAGAGAGACATCTACACACACACACAAGAGTGAGACAGAGAGAGATGCAGAGAGAGATACAGAGAGAATCTGAATTCTTAGCTCTGTTTGAACTGAATATAATAAATAGTAATTCTGGTATTTGACGTTGCCTGTAGCCAGGCCCTCGCTCAAAGCTAAGCACTGTACTACAGGGGTCTAATAAGGTGGGTTTCTTGAACAGCAAGATCCCACAAACAGCCGTGAAGTGAACAAGCAATTTTACGTGGGGAACTGCGGGGAGCCTGAGGCTCGGAGTCTCAGGCTGGATGGTGCTGGCCGGCTGTAACTTCTTATAACAAGCGGTGATGAAGAGCTGGCCGGCTGAGCAATAAAACATGTGGGTGAAGGGGCTTTCTCGCTTGGCTAATCTCTGTGAGAAACGTCCATACATCCACATGTAATGTGCAATCCTGTTCTGCAGCTCAGTGGCTAGTGGTCAGAGCACACCCCCCGCAATCGGGAGATGTTGGAGGGACATATCCTGTTTACCTAATTCCGGAGAGTATTAGGCGCAGGTTGGCCAGAGGCAAGGCTTGTGGGGGGGGGGGGAGAGCCCAGAGTGTGCATTGGGGTAATGGCTGGAGTCTAACCAGCTAAACCCACACATAGCTTGGCATTGATATCACTTTCCTGCTGCTTGTCCAGCCAGGACCACTCTCCCCGCTAGTGCTTTGGCTGCAGGGTTACCAGGAGCTGAGGGGGATGATTCCCTGCCCCCAGGGTCTGATCTGTGCTGCAGATGCAAATGGGAGATTTATATTGAAAGCCTATTCGCTAATAAGGAACGCCACTTGCTATCTAATCAGAGAGAGTTTCTATGTTGTAAACAGCCAGAGGTTAATGAAATCTGTTCCCTCACCAAACAGCGAGTGTGTTTGTGGTGGATTAGCCTCCTGCAGAAGCAACGCTGAGCTGTGAGTCTCTCTCTCACATCGCTGAGCGTAAACCAACAGAAAAACTAATTAAAATCCACCACATTAAACAAAGGCAACAAAGTGCTTTGTGGCTGAGAGACCCAGTGGCCTGTGAGAGGGCTCAGCACCGCCTGGATCTGGCTCAACTGCCTGCACTCTCGCTTGGAGGTCAGGAGCTTGTGGGTTCGAGCCCGTCAGGGACTCAGCTCCAGGCTGACACTCCAGTGCAGGGCTGGTGGGAGAGAGCACTGCATTGCCAGAGACGCCGCCTTCATACTGTAAATAATATTAATCCTCGCATTTGATAAAGTGCCTTATCACATCTTCCAGATGTCTCAAAGTGCTTCACAGGATACACTGTAAGGGAATTGACTGTATATTTTGTGGGCGAAAAATGGCAGACAATTGCACACAGCAGCGTCACACACAGTCGTGGATTGAGTGACCAAATTATTATTATTATTTATATAAAAAAAAACTGAAAGGAATATTATCCACGGAAAAGCGATCTGACAATCGACTGAAAACCGGATTCCTAGATACTGCCGGTAAACAGAGGCGTGGAGTAAGGAAACTTGCCTGCGGTTTTGCTCTGCCCGGGAATCAAACCCGGGTCCTCTCGCTTGCGAGGCGAGGGCTGTAACCACTGAGCTACAGGACTCCAGGTGTTAAAAATCCAGAGGGGCCTAATTTGCGACTTTTCTTATCAAGAAACGTGTAACAATCAAATATATAAGAGTGTCGATCGGGGTAATTAAACCCCACTTTTCATATTTTTACATTTTAGAAATTCAGTAATTACACATTTCTTATGAAGAAATCTCTTACGAGATTATTAGAAGATTATTAGGAATCCGCTCCTTTCCTATGAAAAAATCTGTTAAGAGACGTCACAAATGAATAGAAATTCACAAATTGCACATTTCTAATTAAGAAATGCCTGATAAAGAAATGTCGCAATTTAGACTTCCTATTGCTCTTTTAATCAGAAGACACATTAAATCCCAGAGCCTAGAGAGGTTAGGATGATTCTCTTTAGAGCAGAGAAGGTTGAGGGGAGATTTAATAGAGATGTTCACCATTATGAGGGGATTTGATAGGGTGAACAAGGAGAAACTGTTACCCCTGGCGGGTGGGTCGGTAACCCGAGGACACAGATTTAAGATAATTGGCAAAAGAACCAGAGGGGAAGGGAGAAGAATTTTTTTACCCAGAGAGTTGTTACGCTCTGGAACACATTGACTGAAACGGTGGAAGAAGCAGAGTTGATAATCACTTTCAAAAGGGAATTGGATGGGTAATTAAAAAGGAAATATGTGCAGGGCTGTGGGGTAGGAGCGGGGGGAGTGGGACTAGTCGGTAGCTCTCTCAAAGAGCCACTACAGGCACGATGGGCCACATGGACTGCTTCTATGCTGTAAGATTCTATAATTTTACGAGATGAACGAGTCCTCAGTCTACGTCTCCATCACCCAGATTAAAGTGTGGTTTAGTTTTTAGTGTGAACGGGACACTTCCGAGTCTTGACTACGGAAACTCCCTCCTTGTCGGCCCCCAACTTCTCCCTCCACAGGCTGCAGATCATCCAGAACTCTGCAGCTCGTGTCCTCTCCCGCACCAGGCTCCGTGACCCCATCACCCCCACCCTCGCCCGACTCCACTGGCTCCCCATCCCTCAGAGGGTAGAATTCAAAATCCTCGTCCTCACCTTCCAAGGCCCTCCATGGTCTCGCCCCCTCCTACATCTGTGACCTGCTGACCCCCTATCAACCTGTCCGCTCTCTCCGCTCAGCAGGGAGCAGGGACCCTGTCTCTGTCTGTTCCATGGTAATGAAGGCTCACGGCCCTTGCTGCCCCCCCCCACCCCCTCTCCCCGCTCCTCTCTCTCTCCCTCCTCAGGTACTGACCGGTCTCCACGTCCTGGACGTAGAAATGGAGATCGTCGGTGACCTCGGTGACGAAGACGGGCTTGTAGTTTGTGGTGCGCTCCTTTTCCTCCGCCACCTGCAATACTGCCTCCTCGAGGGGCTGCTCCTCATAGTTGGACCAGACCTGCAAGAGAGCGGCAAGGAGAGGGTTAATCTCCTGTGGAGTCCTGTGGCTCAGCGGTTAGAGCTCACGCCTCGCAAGGGAGAGGACCCGGGTTCGATTCCTGGGAAGAGCGAAAAGTTGGGCAAGTTTCTTTACTCCACACACACGCCTCTGTTTACCTAACGGTGAGCAGGAACATGGGTGTTGGTCGATTGGCGAATCCCTCCCATAAAATAATAACTGTTTGTGGGACACTGCTGATGTGCACATTTCGCCCACAAAATATACAGTCACTACACTTCACAATGTGTCCTGTGAAGCGCTTTGAAACGTCCCAAAGATGTGATGAGGCGCAATAACAAATGCAAGGATTATGATTATTATTATGGTTATTGGTATTATGATTATTATGATTATTATGAGATCTGTGTAAATGTCCCCCACCCCCTCACTACAAGGCTTCCCAAAGGTACAGAGCACAGACACAGTCCTACCAAGTGACTCACTGCCACTGGAGGACAGTCAACACAGCTCCCCCCTGGGGGCCATTACAGGAAGCTCTCGATCACCTGGAGCTGCCTCAAGAGACACCTTCCCCCAGACAGCTCAGGCCCCCTCCTGCTGGGACCACCCGCTCCCACAGCGCAGTGCACATCTGCTCCCAGACACCGCACTGTACATACACACTGCCTCCGTCTCTCAGCCGTGTGACTGCACATCGCTGAGCAAAGCTCCCCTGAGATCCACCCGGTTGACCGCGGAAACAGGAAGTAGAGACCAAATTAGATACCAATTAGATAGAGTTCCATGGAGTCCCTGTAGCTCAGTGGTTAGGGCCCTCGCCTCGCAAGCGAGAGGGCCCGGGTTCGATTCCCGGCAGGGAAACGTTGGGCAACTTCCCTTACTCCGCACGCCTCTTGTTTACCAGCAGTAAGTAGGAACCCGTTAGTTGATTGGCGGATCGCTTTCAAGGAGTAAAAATCCCTTCAAAAACATAAAGAAATAAATACTAATTTGGTCACTCAATCCATGATTATTTGTGGGGACGGCTGTTACTATTCCTTTTAGACAGTACTATTTTAGTACTAATTTTCAGATATGACATATAGAGAGGAAATGTAATATGGTTTGGAAGAACCAGGCGACTCTGGATAATAATAATAATCCTTACATCTGATACAGCGCCTTATCACGTCATCGAGGCGTCTCAAAGCGCTTCACAGAATATACTGTAAAGTGAAGTGACTGTATATTTTGTGGGCGAAACCCGGCAGCCAATTGTGCCCAGCAAGCGTCCCAGACGGGGACTGAGTGACCAAATAATATATTTTTTTGAAGGGATTATTACCCCCGGAAAAGCGATCCACCAATCGACTAACAACTGGGTTCCTACTGACTTCCGGTAACCAGAGGCGTGTGGATCAAGGAAAGGTTTCGCCCTGCCTGGGATCAATCGCAGGTCCTCTCGCTTGCGAGGCGAGGGCTCTAACCACTGAGCTACTGTATCTAAATTTCCCATAGCTAATCCATACAGAATTAATTGCGATTAACATCGCCATTATTGTAACATGCGACCGCCTGACAGCAGAAGAAATTGGGGTAACTAACTGCTGGAGTCTAACCAGCCAAACCCACATCGCTTGCCATTGGTATCACTGTCTGGCCAACTTCCCACAATTGTTCTAATGTGCATCACCTTACGTTAAACTCCCATCTGCTGCAATGTGGAAGTCACACTGTCAGAGGTGATGTGAGAATTGTATTGTTTATAGCACAGTGAGACATTAGGCTCTTCGTGTCTGTGCTGGAGCTCTCTACTCTCACCCCATTCCCCGCTCTCTCTCTCTCTCTCTCTCTCTCTCTCCCCATCGTGTCTGTGCTGGGGTTCGCTCCCCCACTGGAGCTCTCTACTCTAACCCCATTCCCTGGTCTCTCTCGTGGATTGTGTGACAAAATCAGTATTTTTTTTGTGGGATTATTACACCCAGAAAGCGATCTGCTAGTCAACTAACAACCAAATTCCTACTTACCTACTTGAGCGCGTGGCGTAAGGAAACGTCCTAACGTATTGCCCTGCCTGGGAATCAAACCCAGGTCCTTAGTTTGCGAGGCGAGAGCTCTGACTCCACGAAAGGGATGTAGTTAGTTACTTGTAATACAGTTTCACTTGCTCCATTTTTCTGTTTTGATTTATACGCGTACATTACAACCAAACAAATGCTCTCCAACTACTTGCTAACTGCATAATTAATTCTATAGATCAAAAAATCCATTAGATAATTCCCTTTCTTTGCTCAATGAGTTCTTTGTCAAAGCGTGAATCTGTTACACTACATTTTTAATTTGAGACAAATTAATGCTGCATTCTTCACGACATGGCAAATTACAAGTCATTACACGTTCATTAAAACACACGTCCTTTGTGGATGAAAAGGCATCAGCTTTCCTTCCCAAAACTTAATGTTACAGCACTCAAAACCCTTGCTTTCAACCTGTGGACTGGTAGTGAGGTGGTTAGAGCACTCGCCGCCTCAGTCAAGTCCCGGGCAGGACGAAACCTTGGGCAAGTTTCCTTACTCCACACACACGCCTCTGCTTACCAGCAGTCAGTAGGAACCCGGTTGTTAGTCGATTGGTGGATCACTTTTCCGGGGGTAACAATCCCTTAAAAAAAGGTTTTACAAAAAAAAATGTGGTCTCTCAATCCACGCCTGTTTGTGGGGACGCTGCTGTGCGCAACTGGCTGCCGCGTTTCGCCCACAAAACATACAGTCACTACACCTTACAGTGTGTACTGTGAGGCGCTTTGAGACGTCTCGAAGACGTGATAAGGCGCGATATCAAATGCGAGGATTATTATCACCTCACACTCACGTTAACAACTCTTGTTTGGAGACGCAAATGGTTTTCACTCAGCAAAGTCACGCTCAGCTCTGGTCAGATCACATCTGGAGAACCACAGCCAGATGTGGTGCTGGGTCAAGGCCTTCGTCTTCGTCTCCTACCCCCCGCCCGCCCCCCCTGATCCCAACCCAGCTGAGGACTGGGAAGGGAAAACTGCAGAATGCGGACTGGATTACGATGGGACCTCGGAGTTTGACGTGTTAATTATCACCTCACGCGGGATACGAAACGTCTAATTACACACTCAATTAGGAAATGTATCGGGGTGGGGGGGGAGAAAGCTGGGGCTTTGTGTTTGCAGACAGAAGCTGGTCAGCGAGTGAGTGAGTGAGTGAGCGAGTGGTGAGAGCGAGAGCACAGTGTGACATTTGCACTGTGTCCAACTGAGCGGAAAGAGGATTCTAATGAGCTGCTAATGTGACCTGTTCAGATGGACAATTAGCCTCATTAACATGCTGTTTGGCTGGGCCTGGTGTGTACACAACCAGACAGGAGACAGCCAGGCTAATGTGCCTCCAAACAGTGCAGTCCTGTAGTGTAGTGGTTAGAGCGCTCGCCTCGCAAGCGAGAGGATCTGGGTTTGATTCCCGGGCAGGGCAGGGGGTGAAACCTTAAAAGCAAGTTTCCTCACTCCACGCACACACCTCTGTTTACCGGGTAATAATCATAATAATCCTTGCATGTGATACAGCGCCTCATCACATCGCTGAGAATCCTCAAAGCGCTTCACAGAATACACTGTAAAGCGAATTGACTGTATGTTTTGTGGGCGAAACGCGGCAGCCAATTGCGCACAGCAGCGTCCACACACACAGCCGTGGGTTGAGTGACCACATTTATTTTTGAAGAGATTTTTATCCCCGGAAAGTATCTGCCAATTGACTAACAACGGGTTCCTACTGACTGCTGGTAAACAAAGGCGCGTGTGTGGAGTAAGGAAACCTGCCCAACGATTTGCCCTGACCTGCCCGGGAATCAAACCCGGGTCCTCTCGCTTGTGAGGCGAGTGCTCTAACCACTGAGCTACAGGACTCCACTATAAGGTGAGCTGTTGTCACTGGGTCTGATTTCCTGCCCCCACCCACACCATCGCGTTATAATAGGGCCACAGCTGCACACGGGGCTGAGCCTGTGGGGAAGGGAAAGTAATGTCAAGGTAGAATGTCATCTCCTCCGCCAGGTATAACGAGATGCCAGAGTGAGAGCTCCAGTTATCAAAGCCGACACTGTGTCACTTCCAATCCACAGACTGACGGCAGGACAGAGGGTGTGTGTTGTCTCCATCACTGAGCCAAGCTGACAGCCAGAGCGGGGGGGGCGCGGAGAGAGGAGAGATGGGGCGCGGAGAGAGGAGAGACTGGGTTTAGACTGGGGGAGAGTGGGGTTAACCTGGGGGGAGTGAGGGTGAGTGGGGTAGCATGGGGGGAGTGAGGGGAGAATGGGGTTAACCTTGGGGGAGTGAGGAGAGAGTGGGGTTAACCTGGAGGAAGTGAGGGGAGAGTGGGGTTAACCTGGAGGGAGTGAGGGGAGAGTGAAGATTTAGACTGGGGGGAGTGAGGGGAGGATGGGGTTAGACTGGGGGGAGTGAGAGGTTAGACTGGGAGAGAGAGAGTTTAGACCGAGGGGAGTGAGGGGAGACTGGGGAGAACCAGCAGGTCCTGGCACACACACAGGATGGGAAATCGAGGGTAAAAAAGCTCATTAAAATGGTAATTATCTCAAGGCGCGCAGCGTGAACTAACAGCACACACAGGGTGTGATGGGGTTACCCTGGGGGGAGTGAGGGGAGAGTGGGGTAAAGCTGGGGGGAGTGAGGGGAGAGTGGGGTAAACCTGGGGGGAGTGAGGGGAGAGTGGGGTAAACCTGGGGGGAGTGAGGGGAGAGTGGGGTAAACCTGGGGGGAGTGAGGGGAGATGCCATGCCCATTGCTAACAAACAGCCTGACATACGTGGAAACCCATCACTGTGCTTTACACACTCTCCAATCAAACTCACAAGACTTTTGCCTATTCTCTCTCTCTCTCTCTCTCTCTCTCTCTCTCAGACAACAGGCAAAATGTCCCTGGGGAGACGCACGCTGCTCACCCAGTCCTAGAAAGTATTAGGCGCAGGTTGGC